TGGATTCAGGATTAAGTATTTAACCCGCTCTTCTGAGACTTTCCCCTCCTTCAACTTGCTTTGAAGGCTTTCAGTCATTTCAGATAACACTGCTGCTTCCCTCTCTCCCCCGTGCAGCTCTCATTTCGAACTGCCTGAAAACACAGCAGCTACAGAACTGCCAGAGCGAGCTGGTGACTGCTCAAGACATGGCCATTTTCCGATCTGCCTTTGCCAACACCGACTCAGCTACTGGCAGTAGTTATACGGCAGAGCCTGATGGCTTTTTTACCCACCATAAGCACAACCCCAGGCAGATTAGAAAGGCAGCAGTGAAGGCAGTGGGTGCCAAGGGAGCACAGTCTCTCTGCCATGAGAAACGATCCACCTCTGTGCTGCAGCTCCGCGGAAGCCTGAGTCACTGCATTCGGTAAGGGGCCAGGGCCGTTACTCAGAGGTGACAGCAGAGTCTCCAGAGCTGTGGGGCCAGGCAAGTGCCAGAAACCCTGACTCAGAGCATGACCACTGCGAGTCAAAGCCGAGGGCAATGCAGCAGAGCTGGGCAGAGGCGGCAGCGTTACTGGACAACCACACACTTAAAAACAAAGCAAAACACCAAACTAGAAGCCTGAGCCAATGTAGAGGCGCAGCAGTAACAACTCACTAATGTATGATCTTTTACAGCCCCTCCAAGCAGTAGCCTATTAAAAGTTAAACTCTTCAGCCACGCTGCCCTGTCTATTCAAGAGCCACCAAACCCGGTCTCATCACAAGAGTCTTATTCTAGTGCAGTCCATTTGAATCCTTAATCTAAAGCATTTGCATTCCACCGAGGCTCAAACAAACAGCCACACATGCTCTGCAACACCAGCCCCGAGGTCAGGCATGCGCGGGGTTTGGGTTTGTAGTGTTTCAACTGCATTAGCTGCTAGTTTAAGGCTGCAAAAGCAGCACAACCCTGCTGTTGTTACAGGGCATAAAGGAACAAGCTGTATGGAGAGGAGTGGGAGAATGCAGCTACAAGCATCCGAGAGCAGGCTAAAGAGGATAAATGTTAACTCAAGAGCAAGGAAGTGTTTTGAAGGACAGACACGCTGGCTTGCCTAGCCAAAGTGATAGCTGGGGGGTTCTGGAGGATCAGCTTGCCAGGATAACTCAATCGAGTAATCTTATGAGTCATTTATATTGCTGACCACAGAACCACAGTTATCACACTTGCCTTATTGCTAGTTATTATCACCGAATTGAAAAAAAAAGACAGTTTTAAAGACAACCCATCAATCCAGCCACTTGAATAACACCACAACACATAAAATGCAACAACTCGGTGTTAACTTGCAGGCAAGTGGATTCAAGCAGCCAGCACACTTTCAGCAGAGCATTTACCAGCATCAGGGGTCAGAGGAAAACAAAATGTAGCTGCAGGAGTTGTGCTGAAACCTGCATGCAGAGCAGCCAGGGTCCCTCCTCTCCATCACTCTGAAAGCCAAGGTAGCAGCCTGTGGTGAAGTGGGGCAGGATTTTATCGAGAAGGCAGTAAGTGATCACAGGAAAACCACAAGGTCACATTAAACTCCACTTCAGGCATTTGGGAGCAGCAAATGGCCTCTCCACCCCAAACGTTCAGACAGCTACAGGCAATAGTAAAGCCATTAACAGAGGCTTGGAGGGGAGAGGGGAGGGGAAGACGCACCGGAAAAAAAACATTTTCACTGTTGTTGGACTGGATACAGGATTCTGCAGGACCACGAAGTGCCAAGGCCTTGGGAGTCAACAGCAGGAGGGGCAGGAAAAGGAGCAATCTCGTTGGCTAACAGCCTGAACTTCCTAGAGTGAATGAGCCTCTGCTATCCCGAGCCCGAAAAGTCCCAGTGCAGCCCGGATGCGCTTCTTGCATAACCTGCTCGGAAAACTGAGCCACAAGAGAAATGCTCTCCAGCCTAGGAGCTGGCAGGCATTTTGGGATGAGGACTGGGCAGCAGCACAGCCTCCCTGCCTGTGCCCCAGGGGTGATGGCTCCCACCATGTGGGTGCCTCCATGGCTCACAGGAGTGAGACAAGACCATGTGCCCCTGAACTCCCACCCCAAGAGCTGTGCACTTGTTCACTGCACCCCTAAACTTCCACCCCAGGTGGTGTACACTTCTTGTTGAGAGAGACTTTTTCTTTCTACACATTACAGGCATTTCATCCAGCCAAACTGCTCTAGGTTTGGCTACCAGAAGTCATGGGTTCCTTCCCTTCATGACTAAGGGACATCACCTTAAGACACTGTAATTTTGCCACTCTGTGTTTTAAGGAGGCTGAGCAAAGCAAGGGCTTGCTCTAAATCTTCAGCTGCCTTGCGAGTTTGCCAAGTTAGAAGGTAAAATAAAGTAAAACGTGCACAGAGGGATGTCTTGATTTGATTGGGAGGGACAGATGAGAAACTGGGCAAAGAGCAGAAAGAACAGGCCTCCGGGATCAATGGCAGCAGGACAAGCCAAACCGGTTTTAACATTAATAATGCTGCACTACTTTCCAAACACAGCTATCATCAACAAGACACCAGCTTTGCCAATCAGGCAGCCTCCAAGCATGATTGCTTTAAACCAGCAAACAGAGCCCACAAACAATACTGAAGGCTCCCCCCCTCCCTGAGCGATCCTCTGCCAGCAGCTCCTGGGTTGGATTTGTGCTGTCTATAGGGACACAGACACAATGTGGTGCTGCACAGAGACTTCTCCTGCGTACTTCAAGGCAGAAAAGTAGAACAGCTACAACAAGGTTGCAGCCTGTGAGCACTGCACAGCTCAGGGCTCTCAGTCCTCTTGCAGCTTAGAGGCAGAAGCAGCCCCAGCCCACAGGCTCCTCGGTCGGGGGGAATATCCTTTGCTTCCCTTCTGTGCTTCCAGGGTACTTTTAGATGCTAAAAGCACAGGAAGGCTCAACAACTCTGCCCAAGCAAGGACCCCGAGTCCTCCAGCAGCTCTGCTGATCCCTTCCTTGGCTGCACTGGCAGCTTTCTCCCCATCTCCAGGCCCCTAAAGCATCTTCTGTAGGACCCCCATCCTCACACAGTGCAAGCACAGGGGAGCACCTTGCCCACACAGCCTTGTGCTTTCTAAAGCACCCAGTCGGAGAGGGCTGGGGACCAGCGGGAGATGTCAGGCTTCAGTTCCTCCCCCTGCCCCACAGGAACAAGACATGTTCTCACCCTGAGCTGTTGTGACACAACCCACCCACAGCCCGAGCACCCACGTCACCCCGGCACTTCAGCACTATTCCCCACCCTCTTACACATTCAGGATTGCTTCACGCGGAGAAATCCCATGGACACAGAAAGCTGTGCGAGGGGAAAGGAGCCAAAGCATTTCTGTTTGTACAGGCTTAGGGGAATAGCACCAAATCCCTCGCAAAAGCCAGGCTCTTGCATAAGCACCAGAAACACAATCCTGGTCTTGTTAAGGAACAGCTACCTGTCTGCACCCTGCGCCACAGAAACACCAGAGCCGCATGCTGTGCAGCCCTGCACGTTTTGGCAGGGCTATTAAATAAAGAACTTAATATGGGAGGAGCACCAGCAGAACTCTCCCAAACAGTGTGTCATCCTCACCTCCTCCCCAGCTGCCGCAACCCAAACCATTTGTTTGGATAAGGCTTTATAGGGGACCAGTGTTACTTCTCAAGCACACACTCCACCTTAGGTAGCTTAAAAGATGCAAACACTCGTCTAAACTCTATATAAGGGTTTACAGAATACATCTGTTCAAAACTTGTTGTCTTTGCAGAAACCCGATGCTTGCAGACCACTCGGCTCCCCAGGGAGACCAAGCTGCATTTCATACCAAACATGGTCAATGCAACTTCCAGATGCTGTCTGCCCCAAAGGTTTGCCCTACTAGTTTGGGCCAGTTCTCAAGCGAGCGATTCACATGCTTAAGAGCAGGGATAAAGACACCAGATTAAAGTGGATTTGGGCTGGCTGGTCATCACAGAGAGTAGCTGACAATTACTACAGATGCTCTCTGTGGGAGTTTCCCATTCCACAACCAGCCCCACAGCCCTCTTAGAGGGCAGTTGAGCAGCTGAACCTTATCTGTCCTATTCAGTCCAGAACAGAGCAATGGGGATGATTAAATCTAGTTTGGAGAACTGATTTCCTGCAGTTACCTTAATCTCAGCAGCTCTTTCCTCTTTTAGCAGGGGAATCTGCCCTGTTTGCACTACCAAGAAAATGGATACATGGACCCAAACAAACAGCAGGGAAGGCAGAATCCCAAAATCTCTGCTTCACCCAAAGATCCCACGTGTCTGCAGCTTCAGGCATCCAAACTCTTTCAGCTCATTATATATTTAAGAGACTCTTAAACCCTCCATGGTAATGCATCATTTTTTAAATCTCATATGGAAGCGAGGAAGGCTTAATGCAGACAGAAAAACAACAGGGACTGGCAGAGCCGAACTCAGGTAAGGCTGGAAAGCCTGCCCAAGCACTGTAAGGCACTTATCTAACCCATCGCACATTCACAATAAAAAAGGGATTAAGGGACTTAAGTTCCTGACCAGCGGTTGGAGATCAAAGCTGTAATGGAGAGTGGATCATTCCTATCACATACCCTTGTACCCTGCACTGCTCTTACTGGCCAGCCCTGATTGCAGAAGGACAGGACGAGGCTCACCAGCGCATAGGGGTCAGAAGGGACAGGACGAGGCTCACTAGCGCACAGGGGACAGAAGGGACAGGCGATGGAGCTAGAGCCAGGGCTTTATCCGGGGCAGGACCGGGCCGGGACACCGCTGCTTCGGCACCAAACGGAGAAAGCAGCGTGCGAGCCAGGAAAAAGGCAGGGAACCGGAGGAAAGAATGGGAACTGCCCCCCTGCGCCGGAGAAGGGCGAACGCGTGGGGACAGCTCCCGGACCGGCAGCGGTGCTGCTGCCGAGCGGGACCCCCCGCCCCGGAGCACCCATCCTGCCGGGGCGCGCAGGCAGGACAGGCCTGACCCTCTCCCCTTCCCGTCCCGGCCCGGCCGGACTCACCGACTCGGCGGCAGCGGCGCGCAGGAGGAGGCCGAGCAGCAGAGCGCGGAGCAGCGGCGAGGCGCGGGGCAGCGGCATGGCGAAAAGGAGCACGACCACAGCAGCACGGCCACGGGCAGAGCGGGCTCTGGCCGCCCCCCGCCGCCGCCGCCCCACTTATAGGGATGGCGCAGCCCCGCTGGGCGGAGCGCCCGCCCTGTCCCGCCCCGCCGGGAATGCCCGCGGCCCCCGCCCCGTTCTGCTGCCCAGCGCGCTGCGAGCCGGCCCGGCGAGAGGGAGCGACACTGCTGAGGGGGGGAAAGACGGGGCGGAAGGGAGGGAAAAGAGGCAAAAGGGAAAGAGTGGGACAGCGACTTTTTATAAGGACATGGCTGCCCCATCCCTGGCAGTGTTCAAGGCCAGGCTGGACACAGGGGCTTGGAGCAAGCTGCTCCAGTGGAAGGTGTCACTTTCAAGGTGCTTCCAACCCAAACCATTCCGTGACTATGAAAGGGAAGGGGTGAAAAAGAGGGAGGAGGGGAAAGAAAGGGGAAAAGGGAGGAGGGAGAGGAAAGAAAAAGGGGGGACAGAGGGAAAGTGAAGGGGAAGAGGAAAGCAAGGGGGGAAGAAAGGGGGTGGCTGGCACACAGCATCTACTTTCGCAGCACTGCACAAGTGATAGTCTCACAGTCACACCAAACCAAGAACCACTTGGGCTGTGGTGTCACCACTGGTTATCAGGGGTGTTACATCACTCGGGTCTTGCCAGAGGTGGAAAATGAAACCGTTCCATCTGTTTTCTCTGAAAGTAGCAAGCACAAAAACCCCACAGAGACAAAGAAGGGAAAAACCCATCCCCACAGTGCAACTATTTTAGTTTTCTTCTCTCATTAATAACTATTCCTGACCATTGGAATTTGCTTGAAACATCCACTGCAGCCCCTTCACAACCAGAGGAACACTCCAGCTACCACACTGGTACTCACCGTGTCAGGCCCTCTCGTTCATGCTGCAGTCACACCAGTTTGCACTTGTGCTCTTGTTTGTAGGGAAGACTTCCTTAACAGGGAAGCAATATACAGGCTACAAAGACAGCGAGCATTGATCCCAACTGCCAGGTAGGGATGGATGCAAACTCTGCCCCGGTACTACAAAGCTCTCCCAAGAAAACTTCCAGCCCTCCCCTTGTTCCACTTTAGCATGCCAGCCCTCAATCAATCCAAAAAGATCCCTAAGGTGAAGCAGCCTTCCCAACTGCCTGTTCCTTTGGGAATGAAGAGGTACTAGGGTGTGAGTTGCGGTAAGAGGTCTCCTTGATGTTTGTTAGGATCATGCCTGCACACATGAGCAGGAGAATCTCTGAGCTGACTGTGGAGCTGGCTGGCATAATACAAAGTGACAAGGAGAGCTGCTCAGAGCTTTAAAATAAGGTCTGCAGACAACATGCATCCAGGTGAGGGTAGGAGCCAGCCTGGAGGAGGCTGTGGTGGAGCCTCCTCTAGCACATGACCCTCTATGCTAAGGACAGTGATGTACCACTAACCCTCCGGTTCACCTCAGCGTCCAGGGCCACCAAAGACACAAGGGAGGGATATGTGCTGTTATCAACCTTCCTTATAACCCTCACTTCATTACATAGAGGAACTGATGCAAATCACTCCTGGTGCAGCCAGAAAGCCCAGCCCAGCAAGTCTCCAGCTCTGGAGAGCCAGCAGAGGTGGGCAGCAGAAGATGGAGAGGAACAAGAGTGACGGAGAGGAACAAGAGTGATGGAGAGGCTGTGTTGAATGTGTAAAGACTGGTCCATACCATGGCACCATCTGCCAGATGAGAGACAGCAGTACAAGGTGGCCAGAATTACTCCACTCCTCCCTAACCCCCTAAATGGCACCGGTTATTTGTGTGCATGTGGCCGTGACTCCTCAACACCTCCTTCCAGGTAAAGCAACCACCACAAAGATGCTTTGAAAACCATCACTCTAGTGCAGCTACAAACATTGCTAACTTGCTTCTTCACTTCCTCTCCAAACAAGCACATTACACTGTGCTCCTCCGGGTTGTCTCACCTCCTGACACACACCAAGAAGTCCCCCTGCATGGCACAGGACAGCATTTTCTCACCAAGGGACTTTCTGCTTTGGTAGAACAGAAAGGAGCCAGTCTGCCTACCTGGCCCAGGGACATGCAGACTGTCCACCAAAGTCACACTGCACACATAGTCCTTCAAGCAAATGGATGGAAACCTTGGGCTTCCGGAAACAAAAAGTTAAACTCAACCCTCAGGTACTTTCCAACTTTGAGAACAAATTTATGCGACTTTACCAATGACATTTTGAAAGAGCATTGATTAGATCCACCTCCCTCACACACACACACACACAAGCTTTCTGCCACTGTATCTTGGAAGAATTCATATGAAAGGAAATGCAGCCACAAAAGTCATAATATGGCTCTGTAAACACATAACAAAAAATAGCCTCATTTTGCTGCATTTTGCCCTTCAAATGTCCCCTCTCAAAATGCTGACATTCTCCTCTCTCTGGAATCATGGGTGCATGTCACACACCGAGAGCAACAGGACAGACAGAGTGAGTGCAGAGAAAAAGTGCACAAGTGGAATGGGTTTTCCTGTAACCTCACTTCAAGTGAGAGAAGCAGAATTACAATAAAGCACATGTAAAGCCACAGGCTTGTTCTGGGTGATGAATTCTCACATTCAAGGTGTGTCAGTTCCTTTCTCCATTTTAAAGTTACTGTTGGCAGAGATCTAACACAGCCCGGTTACCATTGTTCCCAACCCAGTGTTCAACAGTTACTCAATTGTTGCTTTGAAAATAAAAATAAGGACCTGTCAGTTCCCAATACATGACCCAAACATGCTGGAAGTAGAATGGAGTCCAAATACAATGCATTGGGAGGGTGATGAGAATCACATTTTTATATGACACACCAAGAAATGTCTTGAGAAGGCCACATGCAGAGCTCTTTAGACAATTCTAAATCGTAAATGCTACTGCACTAAGCCAGGGAAAGAAAGTCTTCAGCCAACCTTAGCACAGATCCTACAGGCAAAAATGAGCTTAGAGCAGGATTCTCAAGCAGAAAGAAACCTTAAGTAGAGTTTTAATACCTCTTAACTCCATTCAGTACACTGAGCTCTTTGGGAAAACACACCTGCACACTGCACCGGTGGAGGAAGAGGAACGGCTGAAAACTCTGAGCTTGCATTTTGAGCTACTTAAGGCCAAGTTATTCTGAAAATCATAGAATCATCGAATGGTTAGGGTTGGAAGGACTTCACGATCATCTAGCCTTACTGTCCATTAGCACAAATCCTACCTGTCTGGCAAAAGGGAAATGAACCCCAGGAAAGGTCAGTTCAGGCAGCACTGCCCTTTGGACACCAGCTGGTAAACTGTGGATCATCCACATAAACAGCTTCCTGTTTTTCTCCTTCCCGAGGAGGAAAAACAATACCATCCTGTACAGCTATTTCTTATGGAAAGAATCCCTGGCTAAATAGGGCATTATTTTTCCACACTCCTTTTAAAGAAGTGACCACGGTAGTTGCATGTGACCTGGGTACATTCCCAGGGATCTGCTATGTCCTGGACATATCGCCACTTCTCCTTCCACCTGCTGCTCCTCACGACACGCAGATGTCACTCACACAACAGTCAACTAGCTAGAAAGGGACATTCTAACCAGAAACCAGGCCAGCAGCATGATCTCTGTGTTTTGACATCCTTTTCCCCTTCAACACGTCTTTCCTTCACAGCCATCTCACACTTTCATTTGAAATAAAGAGGAAGAGAAGTAAAATTGAAACTGCTGCTATTTCCCCAATGCTTGCTTTCCAGGTCCACTTCAAACACCTGCCACAGAGCAGGGCTGTGGCCGAGGATCCCTGTGAGGAGAACACCCCCTCTTCCAGGAGAAGGACATGATCCCCTCAGTGAGATGAGCCTGGAGAGGAGGGACAGACGAATCCACACCACATGCCCTCATGGAGTCAGCCAGGAAATGAACTCGGGAACCGCGCTGCAGCTGAGTCGCAGCACAAACATCTTTATGCCACAGCGCTTCACTGCGTCCGTCTTGGCACACTGCGGGAGGGAGCCTGGACTCCCAGGCTGAGCGGGGCTGCCCTCAATTGGCAGCAAGCAAGCAGGGAGGAGTCTCGAAGTTGGAAGGAATTTGAGTCAGTGCCTCCCAGAACACCAGCTCCTATCCTGTGGCCCCAGGGACTATTGGATAAATCAGAAATATCGTTGCTGATGGCTTTGGAAAGACACCCAGTAATTAAAGCAACAGCCCCTACCTCCCACGAGCTTGAGAGTTTTAGTATCTGTGCCTAACCAGCCAACAGTTCTTGGTGGCAAAGGGGAAGCCAGTCCTATAAAGCTTGAAAAGGAAACACGGAGTGAACAGTACTTTCTTAGTTGTGGCTTGCACATCTTGGAGAGGCAAGCACAGCACATTTCAAGAAAAGATACCAATTTCTACTAAGAATTAACAGAGGAAGTGCTGAGTCTCACAGTTCATGCTCAGCAATGCGCTGGCAGCAGACAGCCCGCACAGGGCTGGGATTTTCCAGTGTTCAGTTCTGCGCTAAGGCTGAAAGCTTCTGCAAAGACAAATTCTCTGAAGGGCCAAGTAAGAACTCAGCAGCAGGGCCCCACATCCATCACACGCAGCCTCTAACTTGCACAATCCTTTCTAGGAGGAGCAGGTCTGGAAACAGAGAGGAAAATATGTCAAACCTGCCTTGGCACGTGACATCCACAGAACGAGGAAGGAAAAACATGCAGCAGAGTGGCACAGGGAACTTCCCATAGTGGAACATGGAAAAACGTCATGAATGTCAGAGATCATAATCTGAGTTCCCATAGCTAGAAGTATTCCACACCCAAAAGTGATGTGAGTCTACAACCTCCTGTAAAAGCTGGGTTGCCCTTTTGCCCTCCTCCTCTCTTTTCCAAGTAACAAGAGCTCTGTGGCAACTCCCACAGCCATCGGAGCAGCCCAGGGGTACTGCCTCTCCTTTTACCAGCTCCGTTGTCCCATGAAGCCCTGGGGATTGTAGCATTCAGGTAGCC